TCACTCCTTGTATTGTGTTTTTACACTCTTTACTGAGTTTTCTTTTTTTTTTTTTATAATAAAAAAAAAAAGTCTCCTGAAGAAATGTTCTTGGCACTGATAATACCTGTGTTTAGAAGACAGCTTGCAGGTGAAAGAACATTGCAAGTTGGATGGAGACTGTGTTGTCAGAGTGACTGAAATGGGATGCCAATGGAATGTGTTCCGTGACCACCTACTGGCTCGTAAATCAATTTGAAGTATCTGAGTCTTTCCCTGACCACCAAGAGTGAGATTCTCCACACACTGCAAGTTCGTGGAATACTGAAATTCCAACCGACGGGCGCTTTACCCGTGAAGTTATCCCACACTTGGACATAGCAAGTAGTTGTGTATCTGAGTCTCTCAGATACTCAGTGTATGTTCAGAACAAATGTGTCCTTAGGAAGATTAATATGTAATCAAAATTGCACAGGACAAGCCAGTTACGCTTTCAGAAGCAATTTGTCTTTTCTGTAGCCAGTCTCCGCATTCAGGTCTTTGCCATAATAACCGCAGAATGTCATTTTATAAGAAGAAATGCATTGTAATTACAGAGGTGTTTGGAGACATAACATCCCTGCTGATGGTTAATCTTTGACCTAATTACAAGGTCCTAGTAGAGGACTCTGCCTGCCATCACCTCACACGAGACCATGTAGGTATTCTACCATCCTATTAGGATCTCTGGGCCCATTTGTTGCATTATTTCTAACAGAAATTTGAAGGAATATGACAGACCTGTAAACTTACTGTTTTTAAGTGTGAAAATGTGCCAGATAGATATTTATGTGTTACCTGCTACTGAAACTGTGGACTCACAGATAGTATTTAGAGGCGGCAGGGACTTTGTAGATCATGTCCGAATTCTGTTTAATTTATCAAGGAAACAGACCAACATTGTTGAGTAACTTGCTTAAAGTTGCATGGTTAGTTATTGTCAAGCCTCATACTCAGTTCTGTTGTTGTTAAGACGGGTAAGCCCTGTTAGAGGCACATTTAAACCTTTGACAATAGTTCCAACTAGGAAACGCTTCCTTGTATTTAAAGTAAATCACTTCCTATTTATTGTTGATTCTATTGTTTTACCATCAACATTTCTAAAAGTTGCTTTGTGTCGATTCCGGTGAACAGCTACATAACTGTGGGGCCCTTTGTTAAGAAAATATTCAAGACACTTTGAGGTAACAGTGAGGGTGTCCCTAAACCAAGTGGCTGATACAGGACCAACATGGCCGCATGCCCATGACACTATTTCTGAGAATCTCAGATGTTTTCCTAGGAAATAGCGTAAGTACAGGCTCAAACACTTTTATGTGCCATGGATATTAATGCCTGTTACAAGTGAGGATCATTTTTCTCTGTTATTGAATGTATATTGAGTGAGTTTACTGACGCTTTTTCAGAAATTTCTTGAGGATACTAGCTAGAGATGCACACTGGGAAATGAACCTGGGGCTCTAGGGTCTGGAGTGCAGGAGCCAAGGTTCCTCTGAGTTCAAAGAATAGTGCTAGCTATCAGGCCCACTTTATTCATGGAATCGGTGTTGAGCCTTCGATTGCTAGGATACTTTACAATTAAAAACAAAGGTGTCTAATAAAGTATATTTTCTTAGAATGTGAATAGAGGCTGCTTGTCTATTATAGTGATTAAAAAAAATCACTTCCGTGGCAATGCAAATGTGTTGTAGCAGGTAAACTGACTTCACTTCTGTGAGACGTTAGTAAATTTTCCTATACTCAGTGCAATAATAATGTAATTTCATGTTTGTGTTTAAGTTTATAAACTTGCTAGCATTTCATTACACGTAGTATTTCTACTGAATTAAGATCCAATGAGTATCGGAATACTGTTAATGGTGGTAGACTATACATACAGTATTTCCAGGCACACCTTTAGGAAAAAAAAAAAAAAAAAAAAAAAAAAACCACTAGACCCAAACACAAATTATGTCCAAGTGATCTATTAAACCTGGTGGCAACTTTTGTCCCCAGACTTTTACATAATTTATCTTGGGTTTAATGAACGTGGTTAAAAACAAAACAAAACAAAACAAAAAAAAAAAAACACACACACACACACAACACAAAACATGCAACTTTTCATGATTATATTTTCATTGATACTAATCTTTAGAAACTTTCCACATGCTAAATTGCTGTCCATGTGTGTTCACTTTTAAGGCTTGTATGTTTGTATTAGTTATTTTATAATACGGAATTAAGCGTTATTGCAGGGATACCTAGCTTTCAGAAAGTAGGAGTTTTGAAAGTGATGCTCGCCTGCTAGGGACTTACCTTTTGAAACAGGTGTGCTCATGTGAGCAATGTGAGTACTGTGGATGCAAACCTCACAGTATGAAAAGCCAGTCAAATTTCCCTTGCTTTGCTATCCTCCCTCTTAGGGAGGGGGAAAGTAGGCAACAGTGCCACCATGAGAATGGACAGGTTTTCAACATTGTAACTGTTGGCTTCCTCTACTAACAAAATCGCTGCATTATAACTGTTGGCTTCCTCTACTATCAAAATCGCTACATTGTAACTGTTGGCTTCCTCTACTAGCAAAATCGCTACATTGTAACTGTTGGCTCCCCTACTAGCAAAATCGCTACATTGTAACTGTTGGCTTCCTCTACTAGCAAAATCGCTACATTGTAACTGTTGGCGTCTCTGCTAGCAAAACCGCTGCAGTTAAAGAGTTTATGACAAGCCCAAGTGTTTAAGTAGACATTTCAGAAACTGAGCAACACCAGCAGTATAAACAGATTTCCTGTCTGAGGTTGAAATTCATGTTGTTCTTTAGTGACCCTTAGGAAGATACCTAAGCCGTGCCAGGTCATTCTGTAAGGGTAACATGAAATTAACCACAGCTCATTTTCATCATTCTTAATGTGTTGTAAGAAACAGTGTCAGAAAAGAATATCAACACATGGAAACAGTCCGGTCTCCTCAGTCTGTGTACATGCTCCCTGGTGTATGTTTTGTGACTAGCGTTTTTCAGTGTCCCTTTTATATTTTGTCTTTTAATAATCAGACTAAAAATAAACACACACATACACTGTGAATATGAAAGAAAGCAAGGGGTGTGTGGAGATAGATGATGTAATTATATTACAATCTTAATTCTTTTTAATTATGTAAAATAGGAAACTGCTAAGTTGACTATGGTTGTGATGAGTCTGTTTAAAGCATTAAGTTTTTTCCTCATATTCTGATGGAGACATGGTACACTATATTTATTTTTTGAATGAAAAGAAATCCAGTGCCCATCTTTCTGTTGGCATCAAACAGCCCTCTGATATGTTAATGTGGCATTGGGGGAGCCCACGCACAGGCTTCATTTGGATGCTTTCCAAGTCTCAAGGAAAAATTACGTGTAAGGAACTGAATTTCCAGCATTGCCCCTTTCCAGTGAAATCTGATATTGACACAGTCTGGCATAAAAGAAAACCTTCGTGCTGGAGCACAAATATGAACGCTTTTCAACATTCCACAGGACCGTGGTGTGCTTTCATTATCACCTGGTCAGTCATCTAGACTATCGAGATGCTGATTTAATTACTAATGGAATTGCAAAATAGTTGATTTTCAAATGTTCTCTGTGGGAAAGATTAACCTAGTGTTCTTACAGTTTTTAAAGGGCTTCTTTTGCTGTAGCAAGTGGTCACAAGGAAGTGAGGGGCATGGTTCGTTGCCGAGAGAGAAGGGCACTGGTAGTTTTCATTCTTGCCTTTTTAGCTGTTCTTTAGCAGGCGTGAATCATAAGGGCCAGTTTTTTTCCCCCCATGTTCTTAAATATAGTTTCTTTGTTTTTAATACCAAAAATAAACCAATGGGTGAACTTTTCCAAATGTTTTTTTTTTTTTAAATAAAGAACAGGTTTAAAAATTTGACATTTTTACATATATTTCACACAGTTAAAAATCGCCTGAAGGCTTGGGGGTGGGGAGAAGCTATTTAAAAGCACTGGGTATTCTATAAATATTGTTCTCTAAGAAACCCACTGCAAATGTTTATATACAGAGTATCCAGTGGGGCTGAGAGCTTGCTTCTTGGTATGCTACCATCGTAGTCTAACAGACTTAGTGGAGGAAAATGGATGAAACTCTGTAGCTTGTGGTTGACCTAGCAATTTCCCTTGTCAGTTTGTGGCCCACTGTTAGTAGTCTCAGCTTTCCTGTGAGAGTCTGACGTTCCAGAGGGTAGTTTCAGGCATTCAAAGGATAGGCTTGCCTTGTAATGCACAGTGGATATGCCCATGAAAACTTTTTAGAGAAATACCCTTACTTAATTTTTAATAAATTACGGTATTTCAAGTCACCAGTGTGGCTCAATTCTTGAAAGGAATTCTAGAGTGAAGGCATCTGCCCGAACCAGAACTGTCTTTATGTGCCTGGCTGGCTTCAAACTTCCTACCTTGCACTTCTGACCTCTGGCACCCACCTCCCAAGTGCTGGGTCTGCATGTCTCATCCCCCTGCCTCTGCCTCCCCAGTGCTGGGATTGTAGGCATGCAACACACCATGCTCGCCTTTTGTGGTCCTGGCGATGGGACCTGGGACTTCTTGCGTACTACACACATACCTTGTGAGCTGAGCCTCATGCCTCTTAAGAAATGTCTTTTAATGAGTCTAATTACTATCTCTTCATTTCTTAAATTTTTTTTGAGATAACTTGTTCTATATAGATGTGGGGGTTTGTTTGTTTGTTTGTTTGTTTTTTGATTGATTGTTTTTAAGTTTTAAGCTTTTAAGACATTACAGAGGCTCCTGTTAACCTGAAGTAGGGAGAAATGTAAGCTGTGAGCTATTACTTCAAGTGAAATTCCTGGAGTCATTTCAGGACAGGAAATCGCACCTTTTCAAAATTAATAACGGGGACATGCACGTTGATATTTTTCTGACTTACTGACTCTGAATGCTGGAATTCAACTTTAAGAAAACCCGAGTTCTCAGTCATTACTCTCTTGATATTTTTAAACAGCACTTTAAGAAACAAAAGAGGCTAATTCCTGAAAGAACTGTTTGGAAATACTTCGTCCAGCTGTGCAGTGCCTTGGATCACATGCATTCCCGAAGAGTCATGCACAGAGGTAAGAGCACTAAGCAGCCTCAGCATTGTCTTAAATAACCTACACCATCAGGCAGCCTAATGTGGCTTCTGTGTAACTCAGTACATTACCCCTTTTCCATAGTTTAAGGCCAAATTATAGTCATTTGGGTTGTAAACCTGTAAATAAAGCCCTACTCGATTTTATAAATAGGAATGAAAATTATGCTTTTGCTTGGTCTCTCTGAATGTCTTGCTGGTTCTGTTGGTAAAAAAAAGTTAAGGTGTGGGAGCACAGTTGAATGTGCATGAGGGCATGAGGAAGATGATTTCTTGTTCTTCAGATGAAAAATGTACCGTGGCTTGGCTACATGGACTGTTTTAGTTTTCCCCCTTAGTCCTTAACGTGTTCTGGATAATCATTCCAGTGGTTAGGCAGGGGACAGTCACTGAGTGGCTGATGCAATGATTTGGGAGTATAAAACATTCTGAAGCAATTTATTTAAGGAATTATGATTTCTAAAACCACCTAATAAATACAGTGCACGGTGTTGTTAAGCTATGATCTTACAGCTGATGCAAATGTATGTACTAATCTTCAGTAACAAGTTGTTTAAAATTGTTACAAAGGGGGCGTAAACTTATTTTGTGTCATAAATACATTCTTTGGAAATGGAAGACACAAATATTTGACGTGGATATTAGCAGTCTTCATCAGGGTGTATTGAGATTTCTCATAGAGCTGGAAAATTTGGAATATACGAAAAGTATTATGGATATACTGAGTGCTTCAGTTTAGAGTTGAGTATTTAATATACATTTTTAATTCTTCAGAATATAGAATGTGCTTACAAGTTCCCGATGTTACGTTGTCTTTTCATCCGATGCCTTCATTTATTCACAGATATAAAACCGGCCAATGTGTTCATTACAGCCACTGGGGTGGTGAAACTTGGAGATCTTGGACTTGGTCGATTTTTCAGTTCAAAAACCACAGCTGCACATTCTTTAGGTAAGAGCCAGAATAGGATTTCAGCCAGTTACTCTGTGTGTGTGTGTGTGTGTGTGTGTGTGTGTGTGTTGGTCATGGTTCAAAACAGGTATGGCAGCTACACAGCACTACCTGTATTCCTTATAAAATTTGTAGAAACTAGCCACCCTGACAGGTGCCCTGAGTTCCCTGTTACCTTTGATGTGACGCTTACATACTCTGGTTCCCGTTTGTTTGACCTCAAGCAGGCCCTGAGGTTTTTGTTTTTGTGATTTTTTTTTTTTTTTAAATAATGCTGATGAGGCTGGCTTTTACTGTTGCCATGGAGAGGGCACGCTGTATCTTATTTGTGGTGGTTGTGAGATAACTTAATGAAGAAACTGTATTTTGGAGGAAGACGTCACTGAACTTTTTAAAATGCCAGAGGTAATAATAGTTCACACGTGCTTATTCACTCAAAGGACATGTGACTGTGATAAGTAGGAGAGGAAAACCTCAGGATCGTCCATAAAGATGGGAGGGGAAATCAGTTCTCCCCTTATAGAGAAGATACAGCTTATAGGAAGATACAGCTTTCATTTGATCACATCAGAGCCAACATTATTTTGGTGCCCTTTATACCTAAAATAGGATTGCTGTAACTGCAGCATTGTGTTAGCAACGGGAAGAGAACAAAGCAACAGAAATTCCTAGAAGAAATGCTTTTTAAATTGAGTTAGAAGTCGAGCGTCTCGAGGCTCTTCTCCTTATGCATGTAAGCCACAGGAAATGGTGTTCTCCGGTAAAGCAAGACGAAGTTGGCCTTAATCTGATTCTGTCTGTCTTTACTGTCACGATTTCCTCGGAAGCCGCTGGTTCTTCAACAGCAATATTTAGACAGGAAATGACGAAGCATAAATGGACCAGTGAGGAACAATAGCTCAGTAACCAATTAGACAAGCATCCAGGTGAGCAACTAGTGAAGGACTTGTGCAGGCTTTTGTTTCTGGCTTTGTTCCTAAGGTTCTGTGCACCTTCGAATAAGCCATTTGTTAATAGCTGGTGCCTCCAACAGACTTAAGTGTGGCGGAAGTGCTCACATGCTCCCGAACTTGAGCTTTTCGGCTACGGAGCGCATGAGATTTCCACACTGATGCCCTGTTACATTTTTCCCCATTAACATCATACTTCACTACCTTTTCCGGGTACAAAAGTTTGACGTGAAATTTCATAATAAATCAACAAATCTGCATAGCACCTTGGTAAAGTTCTGTTTGAGAAATTGAAATCCTTGCAATAGATGTGGTAGACAGTTTCTAGGAAGAAGCCTTGGCACTCATCAGTAGTAAAGACACTACCCCTCTATGCTGTTCACCCGATTGGTATAACAACACCCTGTCATTAACTCACTTGAAACATTAGTTTATAATTGCATGCGTATGCAAACAAATTGTACTAGCCTGTGCACACATGTGTATTGTTTAATGTTGTCTTGCAGCCACTCTTGAATAGGCTGTAGCTATTATCCATCCAGCCTTACTGACCTCATATGTAACTTGAAATCCAAGTCTGGACAGTTTGAAATGGACTTTGTCTATGGGTTACGCCGTTTTGCAAAGGCCATGCATAGGGATTGCAAGCGTAAGTACATTTCTAGACTTGGGTGATTTGTCAGTCTAAACTATTTGATACGGAGAATACGGTGGATTTTAATAGATTTAAGAATTCAGTACGGATTTATCAAATTGGCTAAAGTGAGCTATGTACACATATGCTGATGCCATCATTACTGACTCTGAGTGACTTGTAAACGGCAGCCAATGAGGAGGAGAAACAAGTCTCTGCAGTGGTAAAACCGAAGGGAATGGATTTCTTCAGTAGTTTGGTTTTTCTTTTATTCTTGCTGGTCTTTTATGCACAGTGTTTCCTAAGCAAAGTGCACTGTTATATGTTAAAGTTTGATTATTGGGTCAAATGAAAAATATGTATCAAGGAAATGTCTCTGCTAACAAAAAAAAAAATATGTAGAATATAGCAAGAATAGAGATGCTGACACACTTGGCCCCAATTTTTTTTTTTTTTACTTTTAAAGGGTTATTACTCTGTCCGTGTTATACGTATTTATCACTGGAAGCAGATTTCTTTGTCTCTAATAGTTGAGGATGAAGAGCAATTACAAACATTACCAACCATGCAAACTGATCGGCAGAGCTACCTTATAGATTGTATATTGATGCGTTTTCTGGTTTTTACTGATAGTAAGCTCATGCTTACGGTAGGCCTAAAGTCTAGTGGAATGGCACATAAACAAGACGCTTGATGCAATTCATAAAGGAGACTCTTAAAAAAAAAAAAAAACAAATGGAAGCCTAGGACTTAGCTGGCTGGCAGAGTGCTTATCCAGCGTGTGCTGTGGCTGGGATTCTCCTCCTAGAGTGTACCTCTCCTAGGCCACTTTGTTCTGAGCGTGAGAAACAGCGCAGCCTCCAGATCGTCCTGGGCTTGTGTGATCACAACCCCGGGGTGCCTCTATCCCTTTGTTAACTTCTGGAACTGGCGTTCTAGATTTATACCTTGAAGGTCCAGAACCGGGGCTCTGGACTCAGCAGCACTCAGGTTGCAGGGGGTGACTGTGTGAATGGTACCAGTTGTGCAGCCTGAGCACAGAGAGCCATGGCTGCAGGGATGGCATTTGCTTCCATCCTGGGGGCAGGGGCTGCCAGAAACACCCCATTTCATTTCATGTCATGACTGCTCTGGTTGTGAAATGATTTCTGCTTGTGCTTTTAGAAACCCTTTACTGTTGCCCAAGTTTTCTTGGGTCTGTGTGACCCCATATGGGGCTGCCACCCGTAGTTTAGGGAATTGGATGAGCCTTCACCTTTAGAGCACTTAATCCAAAAGCACAGAAAGCAGGGAGATGATGGCTTGATGAGCCAAGAAGAAGGGGGGGTGTTTAACTAGGGTGAAGTGGGGAGGGTCTGTTTGGGGAGGTAAACTGTCCCTCGCAGGGTCAGAACGGGCTATGGTAAGAGAATGGGCAGCGACTTCTTAGGCTCACAAGCAGGTACAAGATGAGTCCCGGGTTTGCTAGAACAGGGGAAAGGAGGCTTAGGGTCAGATTCAGGAAGCATTCACATTGTATTCCTACTCTACTGCCCAGGCAAGTGTTTACATGATTTTCAGAAAAGAACGGCATGCTCTGGGTTGAAGTTAGCAGCAGCCATGAGTGTCCTTCATCTGCTTCAGGCCAAGCATGTCTGGGGTTGTCTTCTCCCATGAGTTCAGTCCTCCTCTGTGCCAGGAGTTACCCCTCTTCCCCTTTCTGAAATCTGTGGGCTAGGAAGGTGGTTGGTTGCTTCTTCGATCTGCACTGCACACTCTTCTCCAGGTTCTGCCTCCTTTTATATCCCCTCTGGCTCATATGTGATTTCAGGATTTTCATTTTGTGCTTTGCCACTAATACGGATGAGGCTGTGTATCTAGGGAGGCCGATTGTAGAATGTTATGCACATTCCCCCCTCCACCCACCCCACCCCCATGAAGTTTACCTTGCCTTTTTTCATATTGTTTGCCAATCTCACTGATGTAACAGATGTTGGGAAACCTGTGACCTGTCCTCATCTTTAAAAATTCATGGTGAAGACACAGCTCTCTGATTGGCTAGGACCAACCCCCAACCAGACCGCGACCCCACACGGGACCATAATCCAGTAATGCTGAGACAGATGTTGCATGGAGCCTCGTTCTCTGTTACAAAGAGTAGAGTATGCTGACTGTGCTGTACTTTATTTCAATGAAGAACAATGCTGAGTTGATGACGCAACACATCGATGACTTGCCTGGCCTGCTTACTGGTTCCCACTTCTGTCTGATCTATTCAGTTGGTCAAACTGGCCCTGTCTATGGTACTTCCTGTGTCGCTGCCAGTGGGCAATAATGCCAGTGGGTCTTCTCTTCAGTCTTCAGTTTAGGGGTGCGTTTATCCCGGCATTGAGGAAAGCACAGAGAGGTAGGCAGGGCTGAGCTGAAGAGCGTGTGTGTGTGTGTGTGTGTGTGTGTGTGTGTAGTAGGTCTTTAGCTTCTTAATGTGGACTTATCCTCGCAGAGATTTACTTTTCAGTCATGTTCCTCACTTTCTGTTCAATCTGGAATCGCCTAGTCTGCTGTGACCTTGCCTTTGAGCAGGTCTGCTATGAGTTTGCTTTCTCCTGCTTCTGGGTTTAAGAAAAATTAATACAAAGCTGGCATCCTGGGCTGTGGGACATTTGGAATCTGTCTTCGTCATTGGCTTTCCCACCACCAAATTCACCGAATAGATACCCTGAGGAATGGGCACTAAAGGAATAGGGCTTAGGGACAGGTTTTGCATAAAAGGGTGAACTAATGTGTTACTGGAGGGAGGTTCTGTTGAAGAGTGAGATGTATTTTTGCATCAAAGTGTTTCATATCTCTTGTCTCCCAGAGTCCTTTGCAGCTTGCACTTGGTCTGTAGGGTACTGCCCACCCTCCTCACAGTAACAGCATTTCAGGCAGCCTTGGTCCTGTATCATCTTCAGTTCAACATCTGGTTTGGGGATTGCATGAGGGGCAGAGCATGAAGGTCATCCACTGGCTCCTAACTAAAGCCTTCTGCTTGAAGGTGACACAAAACCCTTCCACTCACACCTCATCATTGAGGACAGGTATCTTATCTTAACAGACTGGACAAGCAGCTCTCTGTGTCCAGAAGCAGAGCGCCCAGGAATAATGCACAGAGATAAAGGAAAAATGCCTCGTTTGGTCTCCTGTTTGTGCTGGATTTATTTTTGTGGCCTGGTTATATAGTAAGCTCTCTTGGTGGGGATAGTTGTGAATGAGATGGGAGTCATATATGGCCGTAGGGAGTTTGTGTCTTTCTAAACCGGGATACTGTGAGCACAGGTTTTCTGTTATTCCCTGGGTATCGGCCCTGGTGACCATCCTGTGGGTCAGTGCATCTTCGATTACTCTTTATGATAAGTACAACATTTGGGCAGTCTACATAGTTAGAGCAAACATTT